ATGGGGACAAGGGTTACACATGTAAAAATTTCGACTAGCGGTCGATTTTCGGTTATTTTTATCAGAAAAGGAGTACTGTTATATATCTTGTGTTGTTCAAATTACGTGATTAGAAGTCTAAATTTGTTATTATCAATGTTTTTATTATTGTCAGACTAATGTGATTGCCTGTATATAGAATAAAGTATATGAAATACTGCTTTATCTGTCACCTCATTTATTTAAAATACATTATAGATTGTAGATAGTAAAAATATATTTAGAAACTAACATTCATTTCGTTCTAATAAAAAAAATATTGTCACATAATTACAACAATTTTCGTATAGTAAGTATGAGTACAGCAAGAATTTAACAATCTTTTCTGACTTCATTGTTTTCTACAAAATAGATAAGTGGTGATTACCTTTAGTTTTACTGACGTCAGTTCAAACCACTATTTGTTTTTCAATAAGTCAATCAAAACTAAGTTAAAAAGTAATCAATTTCGTGGTAATTTGATATATACAGTGGACGTCCAATATAACGAATTTTATGTTGCACCCCTTGTTCGTTATATCGAAAAATTCGTAATATCGAATGTTATACATTTACCTACCAATATGGTTATTTTTAGGAGATTTCATATATTTGAGTTCATAAATTAACTTATAAACACGTACGAGTATATATTTATTTAAAAGTATTTTTTATTCGGTTGTTACAAAAATTATTTATAAGAAAGGACGCATTCAATCATAGTGTAGAGTAAAAAAAATCATTAATTTTTGTTTGTTTTTTACTACACTCAAGACTTTTCTGAACAGCTTTTTCTTGTAGTTCTCTTAGTACAGCTAATTTTGAAGTTTCATTATTGTTAATCGCCCACTTTATGCATTTTTCGAAATGATTTATGGCATCTTTATGTTTAATAATTTCTAAATTATTTTCTTCTATATTTTCGTCATCAGATCCATCATCCTCGTCCGAGACATCGATGGTATTATCAGCATTATTCCATTTATTAACTTCGTATGTACTAATGTCACACTAACAATAAATAGTTAGATAGTATTGGATAGTATTTCGTATATGATAAACTGAATTTGTGAACAACAGATCAGTGGCGCCTGCATATATGCATTTTGCCATATATAGGCATTTTTCTCAGAAAAAAAAAAAAACGGACAATTACATGCATATTCTAAGCTGAATAATGCTAGTTTTATAGTAAAATTATATTCAAAAGCATAATTTGTATAAAACAAAAACGAATAAGAAACAAAAAATTTTTTGTTCGTAATATGGAGCAGAATTTTTTTTTTCGTTCGTTATATAGAACAATCAATGTAAATATTTTGGGTGTTCGTTATATCGAAAATTCGTAATATCGAGCGTTCGTTATACTGGACGACCACTGTATATATATAATCCAAAAAGCGTAATAAGCAAACCTTTTGCGATTATTCTATTTCTGAAAAGATTATCTATAAAAAGACTCATTGAAACTGCAATTTCGATTTGTTTATAATGAAAAACGGGTTTCGTATATAACATAATTTTTGAGAAGAACACAAACTTTAAAGTTGTTTGAAATAAACAATCAAACCGAAAAATCATCAAGAGAGATTTATTGTAAGAATATTAAAATTTTAATATAAAGCTATGTACTTGATGGAATTAAAATTTGTGCAAAAAATACCTTTGTAGAATAAGTTGTATTATGTATTATATATTATTATTTAATACTATACACCTATTACTTACGGCCCTCTGTTCCATCTAGGAATAAAAGGATTAAATATACTTATTTCTAATATTTTTATTTAGTTTTCTATTTAATTGAATTGATTTAATAATATTTTTGTATAAAATGAGTCAAGTTTGACCAATTACCATATAACTGTCATAATAAAATTAAAATTATAAACAAAATCATTCAGCAAATCAGTAGAAATGTTAATCAACCGAATCAGAACGAACTGCTGCGAACATAACATAAATGATACGCTTACATGCTGCGGCAATGTTAAAATAACATCAAACTGGAACATCTCTGTATACATACAAATTTATAGAAGTACACATAAATACATTGGAATGTGAGTATCTACGTATGTGCAGCTGTGAACTTTGATTACGTGTACGACAATTCATGCACCAATTCTCGCACAAATTTCGTGCTCTCCGAAAGACATTGCAAGAAATTTCGTTCATCTCTCACACATGCTTCTCAGCGAACTAAACCGTGCAATGATTGAGTAATTGTTGTGTTGCCAACATTTTCTATTACAGTTGAAATAACTTAGTTCTCCACACAACGCAGTGATTGAAAGAATTATGCATGTTTGTTGAACGATGTTTGATATTTTGAATCAGCAACTGAAATATTTTACACAAATTTACTGAGGAATGGCAATCTTGATGTTACGGAGAGAGAGAAAATGCGGAATTGTTGGTACAGAACTGAATCAGTATTGTTTATAGACATGTGGTATGTGCATAAAGTGTTAAATTTTTTATCAATATAAATAAAAATAATAAACAAATAATAATGTGATAAAGACAAATCCATACTTCAAATTGTTTTATAAATTCTTTTTGTATAAACTAAATTGATACAAAAAGAATTGCATAGAATTATAATGCATTTATTGAAAACATTAAAAATTTCTCAAACATTGGAATAGGTTGAAAACGTAATAAACGCTTGTTTTCGGCGCCGGCAAGAAAGTGCGACAATTCCCAACATGATTCACTAGTAAACACTGGGACTTAAAGAAACCGTCTTTGTGTTCAGTACAATCGCTGGTTGATGCTATCACATGCGGATTGTTTTCAGTATCCAGCTCGGTGATTGCAATTGTTATTTATGTTCTCATTCAGAGGCTTCGAGCATACAAACTCTGCTAAGAAATGTTATACGATTGCTATCTGAATATTTTGTAAGGTTTATTCGGCCAACCTACTTGATGGGAATTTTGGCAATTTTGGCTTGAGTTTACAATAATTCTTTACATATAGATCTAGAAAAAGCAATTACTTATATTTATTTAATTATAATTTAATAATTTTAAATTGTTGTTCCTTATTTAATTTTATTGTAAAAACATAACTCGGATATATATTTTTGAAAAAATTTTACTAAATAACTAAATTATTTAATCTGTAAAATACTAATATTCCATTATTATTCGTATACTGCGAATTATATAGGTGGTAAAAAAATGAGTATATCAATATTTTTTTTACACCAGATGTTAGTCTGAAAATAGAACTAATTTAAATTTAAATTGTTGTCATAACAAAAGAAAACTATTTAATTACACAAAAGTAAATAAAAGACAAAATGATAAGTAATTATAGATATTTTTCACGATATTAAAAAACTATATGGGCCGTGTGCGAGAGAAATTGAGAGAAATAGTAAATTATGTCGGTATGGCAGCGAATGTTGGTATTTACCAGAATTTCACGTAGAGTAAATTCGACAAAGATTAGCTAAATTAGGTGTTACAATTGTAAAAATTATAAAAGATGTTTAATAAATAAATAAATAAACTTGAAAACTTTTAACCAAAAATAATAAATAAATGCAATAAATAAATAAATACACATACAAGTGCAGTTAAAAAAATCCCTAAGAAATTTCAATTTACTTTACTTCAATTTACTTGAACTCGCACACGGCCATGGTCGGTCAAAAAATTTACCTAATCAAATATTGTACTTATATTTTTCCTCATTATGTGGCAGTTTCTAATATTTTATTTTATTGAATTTATTCATTTCCGTTAGATCAAAAACTGTGCTTCCATACATTATAGATACAATTCAAATGATGTATTTGCTCTTTACAATTACAAATTAATAATCTAACAAATAAATAAAATATTGTTAGAAAATATTTTATAACGAATTTTCCAAGTAAACTAAGTTTTATGTATGATAATGGCAACTCCACCGGAAAATTTTATAATCAAAACAGGTAAAATAAATTTAACTAAAATCTGATTCTAACCATTAGACGTTTTTATCTTCACACAGAAATAACTGAAGATGATTTCGAATGTTTGATGCAACGAATCGATGTTATAGAAGCAAAGCTTAACAAAGTTTTGGAGCAACAGGAAGAGCTCGGAAAAATGTTATTTGAAAGTAATACGCTTTTGCGTAGAAACTTAGAGATTTGTGACGGTACACCACAAAGGTTTCCGCTGCAGAACGATAAAGAACTCCAAGATTTGGAAGAAGATCTTAAATCAGAAAAAAAACACGATATTGTAAGTACAAATATGTTAAGTATTTTCAAAGAATTATAATCATTTTATGGTCAGGTTGTCAGTATGAGGCAGGTTCTATGCGGATCTATTAAAAACATTGAAAGAATTCTTGGTAAATCTTTAATTTCTTCATATAATTACGATGGCTTTAAAGGGAAAAAAGCACTCAAAATTTATAAACACTTCATGTTATCGTTATATGGTAAGTCTATGGGAATAGTACATTATGTTTTTTTTAATCAAATTCTCCATATTAGAAGCTGTCAAGAAAAATGGATATAGTTCAAGCGATTTTCAAATGGAATTGCGGTCAACACTAAGAAAAATTAAGAACAAATATCAGAAACGACATAGTAGACAAATGTGATTTTAAATACTATTAACTTCATACTAATATTATATAGTACAATATTATATTAATTGTTAATAAAAATAATAAACAATAATAAATAAGGAAACTCAACCTTAATTATGTGTATAAAATACTGCAAGGGTAAAAAAAACTGTTGAAGAATGAAAAAAAACTATCCGATGTGTATGGAGAAGATATATTGATGAAACCCTAAAACAAAAATGACTTGCAAAGTTTCGTTTCTGCAATTTTGAAAGCTTGTTGAAGCTGATGAAGAGGCACTAAAGGCACTAATTGATGCACAATTGTGTAGAACAACTCGTATGATCGCTGAGCGAATAAATTTCTCGAATTTAATTGTTTATGATTATTCGAATCGCTTAATCGACATATATTCCTTATGTTGTTACGGAAAGAGATTTGTGACGTCGCGTTAACGTTTATGATTTATTTTTCAATCGTTAAGTAAATCATGAATTTTTTAAACGCACCATCACTAGGTACTAGAAATATGTTGTCTACAACGATGTTAAATCAAACGAATTCTTGAGTAAAACAAGTACTATGGATCAAACCGCCTCGAAAATTGATTTTCATTGAGTAAATATTATGCTATCTTTTTAGTTGAATTTCAAAAGAAACGTTTTATTGAGCTTCTGCCGGACGACACAATAATCATTTCTAAAGTGTACTGTCAGCAACTAAACAAATTACATGATTCACTTAAGTGGAAAAGGCCAGACTTTATAAATAAAAGAGGTGTAGTGTTTCATCAGAATAGTTTGTAACTACATACTAGTTTAGTAACTCATCTAAAAATTTTAAAGTGTAGATGGGATATACCGACTATTTTCTCCAGAGCTGTTTCCTTCTTGTTATTACTTATTTCGGTCTTCACAAAATCTTTCGGAAAGTAAAATTTTTGCTTTAAATAAAGTGGTCAAAAATCAGTTTTTTCCTAGCAACGAATAAAAATGTTATGAACGTGAAATCTGGTCACTGGTAGAAAAATAGCAAAAGGTGTTAGATCAGAATGGATAAACATCATGTCTTCATGAAAATATAATTTAAAATATTTATACACTCTAAGAAAATCTTCATATGAAGAAGAATCATAAAAGAAAAGAAGATATTTTCCGAAAAACCTTAAATTTGAAGGAGCTTTCGAACAGTAATGTTTATGAATTTACAAATGTTCCGAGTCCGAACAACTCAAAGCAGAGTACTTCTGCCTTTATTGCCTACATTAACATAAATTGTAAATACCACTGAAAACAAGTGTGTCATATGTCAACGTAAAATATTTTAAGTAAAAACTGAAAAAGTGTACAAATTGAAAAATGCAAGTCATGCTGCGGCAATTTGGAATCCATTGAAATGCTTAAAATATTTCTTTCACATTTTGGAATAGACCAGGATGCCGTTACCGATGAAAGCAGCAAGCACAGCAGTGGCGAATACTGCCAATATCCGTTCGAATAAGTGAAATTCTGGAGGCAACAAAACAAAAGGCACAAGTAACGAGAAACTAAAAAATCTAAGTAAAACGTCACGATATTGATGGAATTCGTACGTGATAGGCTGGCGTTTGCAAAGTAACGCCACTGGCGTGGTTGGAAAGCCGATGATAAATTCTCATTCCTCCGCTGCCAATTTTAATGTAATTTCCTACATGTGAGACGCTGAAGCTCAGAGCCAACAAACCCTAAACACAGGCGCGTCGTAAGCCTACGTTTACCGATGTTATTTTCTAGCGCACAACGTTTGTCAACTAATGCTGCAACTTAATGGCAACGCCACGGACGTAAAAGTGGCAACATCTTTTTTTGCGTTCAACTTCGTACGGCGGAGAGCCGTACGTAACGCCTTTTCTGCATATGAGCGGAAAAAATTTGTGTACAAATGTGACAAACTTGCAAATTTTTATGTAATTTCATACATTATTTGTTTTTGTGTTGAAATATTTCTGTCACGTTTTTATATTGAATATTGAATGTTGGCTGAAATCGGTAAAACACAAATATTTATTTGTCGTTTTAACGCGGAATGCACAGTTTTGAACACAATCGATTTCACGTAAAATTATACAAAACAATAAAAATCCACAGAAATTCATTGGGAATGAATTTAGAATAAAAGCTCTGCGCTGCTGCCGAATCTGCTTCTGCTGCCCCTGTTGCTGCTGCAGCTGCTGGTGCCTCTGCTACTGCTACTGACAGACGCTTAATTGAAAATCAATTGAAATTAAATTGAGTTTTCCTTTTATAGTCACTATTTTATTAAAATTGTTTATTAAGGCAAAGAAAAATGGTATTCGACAGGCAGGCACAAAGTAGCAAGCCATTAAAAAATTAAATTGATTATTTCATTTTAATATTTTAACAAATGCGTATATCTGAAATTGTTTTATTGTAAAATGTCAGTGATAACTATAAGATGCCAAAACCGACATATGTCCCACTATACTTTTTTTATTAAATGCATTTTAGTTTTGCAGTCTAAAAATATTTCATCATATTGTCTTATATCATATTGTCAGGTTAGGATGGAGTGGTGGCCTTATGCAACAAAGCTTACCCCAGTACAAATAATGGGCGGTTGAAATACCGCGGATAATCGTTGTTCATATGTCTGACCAGGATATCACTACACCAGATAAGTATCCGATATGTCTATTTACTTGGTTTGTTCTAATATTTGAGATATATCATATTTTTATGATTTTTTATATTTGGTCAGAAAGAGATGATGTGCTTCAAACTATACTTTTATGAAATCAACTGAATAACTTATTATATTTCAAGGGAACACTTGTTACAGTGGATCACCCAAACGATTGCAGACATTATTGAATAAAACTGTTTTAGGCACTTAAGCGCGTTTTATTAAGCAAAGAAAAATAAGATTAATGAAGTTAAAAGTTACCAAAAGGAAGAAGGTCAACACAAAAAAAAACACGAAAAAAAAAATTACTATCAAAAATGATTTAAGTCAAGTTTTTGTGTCTGTAAAAACTGAGACAGCTACATTCTAACTAGTACAAAAACAATGCTAAACCGATGGGTAGAACTCCATTAAAATGCCTTCATCCCGAAGTAACTGACATTAAAAAAATGGAACAAATATCTGCAAAACTGTTAGGAACTGCAAACTAATATAATTTTTTTGAATTTATTTGATGTGACTAAATAATAGGAAAACAAGGATATGACCAACCAATATAGGCTGATCTTTTTAAAAATGCTCGTATACGTCATCAGTCGTGGTAGCAAAGACAATCAAGTATTAGTGCAAAAGAATTATGTGTCCGACCCATAAAAATGAGAAATAAAACTGACTGTGTTAATTGGAAAGTAATATGCCTTCTCAACATCGTTTAAAGAACTCTCATGATATAATCGGTCATGTTCTATTCATATTCTCAGATGGCTTTATAATCGGTCACAACAAAAAACAAGCAGTATATTCACACAATATCAAACTAGCTTTAATTATCAACGATGTGTGATATTTCTATTATCGAAAAGATTGCAGAAAGATGATCATAGATTTTAAAGCAGTTTCATTCAGTAAAGAGAGAATTTATTATTCAAGCGGAGAACCTTAAAATACAAAACATTTTTAAAGTTACTGTGCGGTGAGGGCTTTTGTTGCCTGAGGTTATCATAATATGGCTTATAATCTTATTTCTCCAATAAAAAATCTAATATAATAAGTCATCCAAATTCATTACGCATAGAGTAAAGCACAAAATGCAAAGCGATGCATTGTAATGTTCACTTTTCAAGGTAGTACTAGGAAGAGCGATATGAGATGCCCGATTAAGATCAAGAAGAATAATACTAATAAACACATCACAAGTATTTCCTTATGCTGATGTTGTATTATGACCCGTTAGTCAGCTCAGCTACGAAAAAGATATACGCAACTATAACTAAAAACGCAGCAGCAAACATTGGGTTGAAAGTAAATGCAATAAAATTTAAATACTATAGGTTAGGTACTAATGAAGATTTTGAATAAACGAGCTACCACGTGTACCACGTGTGAGATGACTAACGAAAAGTTACCGACACCTGCATTAGATGGTTAATATATAGCCAACCTGGGTTGTAATAAAGACTCAAAGTGATAATGACGATGATGGTGTGAAAGTGAGGACTGTAAAGGAATGATAATGAAGAACAAAAAGTCTAATCACTTGTGTTGTAAAGGCATGCACTACTGCATATTTGATGTTATTTAAAATTTCATTTCGTTTGTTTTTTCAAATAAACTAAATAATAAAAATAAATTGTAATTCTTTTTTATTGCTGCTTAATAAAACTTTGATTTCAATTTTACTACTCAGATGGGTAGATGTTACTGTATTTACTACTTAACTTTTATTTACAGGATTTGTGTCTAGATGCATGTCATAAGACACAATCCTTACAATTTTTCTATTTAACTAGTTAATGTAACCCTATCCTTAGGCCCTTGGCATAAGGATAGGGTCCTTAAACTCTAGGCCCTATGCTCCACTGGGAGATAAGGATAACAGAGAGAGAGAGAGTTAATGAAACGTCAATTAATTACTAAATGATTAATTCAAACAAAAAGATATGTATGAAATCGTTAAAAATTTGTATTGAATTGTGGTACAGGTGCGTCTCAGCATTTTAGTCACTTTCGTAGCATTGTAATAAAACAAATAGTATCAAAAACGTAATATGTTTTCTAATTGCACAAATATTACTTGAAGGTACATATAAGCATAACCACCTATTGGCAGGCACTTTTAAATGACTGTAGTATTCTTTGACTCCACACAACTCTTAAGAAATCAATTTAATAACGATCATAGTTGACGCACTATCTTCTTCTTGTTTACAGCATCCTTTTTACTTTATGACCCTGCACATTTTTGCCACCTTGCATGCCTATAGGATCTGCAGAGTCATCATGTGCAACAAAAAACAAAAGTTTAAGTTAGGTTTAAAGACGAGTCTGTGCAGACTCTGTGCTAAACGGTTTCTGAGTTCTCA